TGACTAACCATTGTGATAGAGTACTAATCGATGTATTTCACATGAGCAAGTCTAGACGTTTTCGATTTCTAGGTAAAGAATCATTTTTTGTTAATGAAATTTGCAACTTAAAGAAGTATCTGTATTATTTTCCAACTCGATTAGCAACTCCATATGCTAACTCGCCAGCTTTATGTTGTGATTCAATTCAGACTGAACAGATGATAACTGTAATTGTATTTGGCGACATGAAAACATCGTTGAAAAAATTTATTTTGCATGTTAGCCAGATACTACTGATTCAAACCAGGTTTTCATATCAAGAGAATACATTTCGTATATAATTAACAATGATCATCAATCGAGCTTATCACACATTCAAATGAAGATTAAGAAACAATTTAACATGATATATTGGAATGCATAAGCAAAGCATGTTAATAAACGAACCTGTTGCAGTGGAAACACTCGTGGTCTAAAGAAGCAATGCTGAAATGATGCTATCTGTCAAGATAAGAATGGTTTGAGAATAGAAATAGATGATTTCAGTAATATTCACACAGTATGTTTAACTGAAATGAAATACTTTTCAGGAAGAAAAGTACAACTATTCACAGAGAACCTTTCAGAAGATGTGTACGATCTTCATGTCTTTCTAGTATCCATTTCTATGAAAAAACGAGTCACGATGGAATTTATTGATTGATAATTGAAAGGAATATTTATAGATATACTAAAGTTTATCTGGCGTCAGCAACTTTAATCATATTATTAAGATGAACGATGATGGTGTTTCTCTAAGAGTTCGTCATGGTAAAAATGCTCGCGGTTGTTACTTACTGTTTGTCAAACAAGTAGAATTAATTGTTGAAGTGCTCACTATCTTTGTTATCAGATTCAAAGCCACATTTCTTGAGTGATCTACAAAATCGAAAAATACCTGATAGACGAAAATAAAATACACACCTAAGTTTAGATATGAAAAACTATGTAGGAAGCTGAAAATAATGAAAATAACTTCAAGCGACAATAATTATAAAACTTAGCATTGATTATAAAGACAAATGGCACATCTAGTTTTAATCTATTTATACTGAGGTTTCGTGAAAAAGACTTTTAGCCAAGTATATCATGAAGGAGTACGTTTCCTTGGAGAAAATATCATGGATTTTTCTGTTACTTAAAGTGATGAACAATTCATATTATGAATAGAATATTAATAGTTCTTCTTCAAAAGCTTTTCTATACTTGGATTTCATAAAACGAAAACACAATCGGTAAAAAAAAACTTGTTAGCGCAAACTATTTGTGACTGAAATATGGAACTTATATATCTTCATTAGCTTAATTATACTAATACAAAATACTCACAGTGAAAAACCTCTGAAAGAAGACAGTTCTTGTCTAATCATGACCAATGGCCAGAAAAAGCTGTCTTTTTTATTTTTACATTTCTACATGGAATTTTTATTTTAGTTTTCATTGGTTCTATTTTCTCGTGATTTTTTTAAAACTGTAACATTTTGATTATTATAAGCAATGAAATCGGATCGAATACACTTTTATTAATAATTGTATGTCACTAATACTTTATGAAAGTTCTATTGTTAATGCATGATTGATAAAGCATTCAAGTCTTCAAGAACAACTTGAAAATAGAAAATGAGAGATTTAATACTCTGGATGTTTGGAACTGATTTGTGAATGTTGAAACCATTCCTATCTTCTACCATTAAACAAAGTCAACTTACGTTAGTTGTCGATCGAAAAATATGTATTTGAGAGTGTATCCGGATTTGGATAGCGACGCGTCTACTAGATTCTAGGGCCTCGAGTCAAAAACTCTCTGATATGCTTTTTTAATGTTAACTTACATATACTGTCGAAAAGAGAGTCATAAATTGTGACTGTCACTTTATTTTCTGAAAATGAAGAGTCATCAACTGCAGTGACTCAACTCTTTTTTCAGCTGTCGCACTGATCATCTCAAGTTAGATATTGACTTAAACAATATGATATAGCATCTAAGATCCGACTTTATATTTAGGATGTCAATCACTAGAAGATTTATTGTTGCACAGGTTACAAATGTTTGGTAGATGCATTTTTCGTAATTTTCACTTAGGATATATACTTTTCATTCACTCTGGCACTAATTTCACAGTGTAGCTCTCTTTCTCATCGTACTCTATAGATAATCATCACACATTGTAACATATTCAAATTATTGATGGGAGACTAAAAGTTATCGTTACATTCTCTATTTTGATTTTGACACGATTATTTTCTCTTACTCAATATAAGAATACTATGCTTTCTACCTCGGGTTTACCTAGGTGTGGGTGTGGCTTCATCATTTGACCCTTGTTTTTGTTCCTCTCATTTAAATTATTTGAATGTGTCTTTTTTAATCTAGTTTTTATTAAACTTTTATCAACTAGCAATCATTTCACCATCGTCTGCTGAAACAAAATCTTAAAATCTTTTCTTCACAAGAACCATTAAATAATTCTTTAACTAAATTTATATTCATACGATAACTATTCGACAACCAATGATTTATTTATTTGGTTCACGTCAAGTCATGCATCAAGTATAAATAGTGATCAATCAATAGAAAATAGTGTAATACGAGAGTAAAATAAGCATAAAGAAAAAAAAAAAATTTGATCTATTCTGTTTTTTTTCTGTATTATAATTTTTACTTTAACTAAAAAACAATTGAATATTTAAAACATTTGTTAAATCGAAACGAACGTACAAAAATAGGCAATTATATTCATTTATTTGAACCAATTGTTATTCTTAGTCTTAAAAAATATGTTAATTCAAATGAAAATGATTTTCAAGCTGAGAGTGTGGGCTGTGGGTATGAGTCTTCATCTTTATTACATCCACATCCTATTCCTTTGAATATTTTCATCAAGTTTTACAATAATTTCAACTTAAATTATGTCAAAGTATAACTCGAATCACCCTTTTTTGACTATAAAATGAACACATATTCCATGATCTCTTAACTGCTTATTCTAAGCGAGTTGAAAAAAACCAAATGTTAGTTTGATAACGAAAAAAAAAGATAATTTGAGCGATATTTTGACATAATTTAAGTTGAGATTATTGTAAAACTTGATGAAAATACTCAAAGGAATAGAATGTGGGTGTAATAAAGATGAAGACTCATACCCACAGCCCACACTCTCAGCTTGAAAATCATTTTCATTTGAATTAACATATTTTTTAAGACTAAGAATAACAATTGTTTCCAATAAATAAATATAATTGCCTATTTTTGTACGTTCGTTTCGATTTAATGAATGTTTTAAATATTCAATTGTTTTTTAGCTAAAGTAAAAATTATAATACAGAAAAAAAAAAGAATAGATCAAATTTATTCCTATTCTTTATGTTTATTTTACTCTCGTATTGCATTATTTTCTATTGATTGATCACTATTTATACTTGATGCATGACTTGACGTGAACGAAATAAATAAATCATTGGTTGTCGAATAGTTATTGCATGAATATTAATTTAGTTAAAGAATTATTTAATGGTTCTTATGAAAAAAAGATTTGAAGATTTTGTTTCAGCATACGATGGTGAAATGATTGCTTGTTGATGAAGGTTTAATAAAAACTAGATTAAAAAAGACACCTTGAAGTTATTTATATGAGAGGAATAAAAGAAACTATTAGTACAATTCGTGCGAGCCTGTTTTATTCGATCTATTTTAGGATACATTATGAGACGTTAGTGATATACAGACTGTGTGGTAGTTCAATTTTGTATCTCTATACTTCAATGCTTGTTTTGCTCTAAAGAAGAGTCATAGTAAAATTCTTCTACTTAGTCTATTTGTGATTCGATTGAAATCCTTCTGTACTCTAAGAAGAGTTTGTACCACTAATTTATCGCTATGGAAATATTGTACTTTTACGGTATTTTTAAATGAATGCTGTGGTAATAGAAAAATTGGTTTTCAAATTTCAAACTGAAAACTTGCATAGAGAGAGGCGTTTGCGAATGTTTCAAATTTTGTTGCTATTCTTATCCTAAGATCCACTGTTACTAACAGAGTGTCTTGCACATCCCTCTTGTAAACCAGCTAATTTGATACTGGGATTTCCAGATGGAACGAAATCAAAAAACCTGGCACTTTTTCAATAAGCTACTCTAGTTAAGATCTGTCTTTATGCAAAGTTTTAAGCCGAAATTCCCAATATCAGATTTTATGTTACTACGACACTCATTAAAGAAATACCTCAAATATGCAATATCTTCGCAGCAATAAGTTAAGACCATGAACTCTTGTTATAGTATTCATAGTTCATTTGAATCGACATACTGCATATAGTCTTGACTCCAAAGCGCTTCATCAATTATGATTGAGTATCACTCATTCAAGTAACAAAGATCTGTAAGTAACTGATAATAAACACAAAGGATCGGTGCACTTACTGACGACGTGATACTAGTATAAAGAGTTTAATAGGGAGATCTAACGAGGAAATATCTACAGCTGTCCGAATGTTGATCGAACTCATAAGTAAGGTTGAGTGAGACTAGTCAAAGGTAAAACAAAGTTAACCTCATGTCTTATTGAGCTAGAATGATTATTGTTCTATTAGAGTTTTCCGTATCTAGGTTAGATTCTCATGGAAATCTTAATTATAATTATAAGATTTTCATCTGAAGTTTTGTCTTTAGGCAGGTTTCAGACTTAATAGAATAATCTAAAGATTTTAGCTTAACCGACTATATTTTTCTTTAAATATTGAATATCTGAATCCTATTTTTGAGTTCAATTGACATCTAAAAGTTCGAAATATCTCTTGACATGATAAGCTCTACATATTAAACACTTACTATGAATAAGAAACAGTATGGTTTAAATTATTGAAATTTTCTTTGGAATAAATATTCAATTTGAAAAAAATTACTTCTTGTGTACATGGAATAGTTTTTATTTTACCAACATTAAATGTTGATTCAAGATAATTCAGTGTTTCTTCCAAATGTTATGACAAATCTTGTGTAGAAACAAGATTTAAAACTGATTTCATACACATTGATATTGTTGAAAGTAATTGTCCAAAATGATCATTTTCAGATGAATTTAATAAACTTTTATGTATTTTATATGATGCACGTATTAATTCGCATAATTTTGTCATTGATGAATTATTTCGAAAAGTACCTAATTGTGTACAGTTATGTTTTTTTATATATCTTTGTCCGTATTTTTGGTATTTGATGTTATTGATGAATTTTTCTTTGATGTCATTAAATTTGTGTTATCAATATTAATTAAATCTTATTTTCACTTCCTTTACAAAAGAAATACAAATCAATCGAATACGTTTATTTTCATAGAACACTACAAAGTTTTTTTTTTCGTTCATATGTTCTAAAAATTGTATATTGGAGTCAAGTATCCTTCTATAATGCAGACATATGATCAAGCACATTCTGCTGATCTAAAACTATAGAATTCCGTTCTGCTGCGAAAACTAAAACATCTACTATACAAAATAATCTTCTGTCTAAAAAAAAATAATGCCCGTGCGTATTTTTGCAATAACTCGAGAAGGGAAAGAGGTGGAGTTCTATCAAAGTATATCGAGATATTCAATTTAAATCGACGAAAGAAACTTTTTTTTAGTGCCGCTTGTAAATAAAATAGTTAAGTTTTCGAATTACTTGAGTCATTCGTGTTATTTTCAAAGCTTTTTTTAATTTGTTGAGGTGATGCAGGAATAGATGAAAAATTAATTTTTGAAGCCTGTGGAATTGGTGGATTTGTATCTTCAACAACACAATCAAATATAGATAAGATTCTATGAATAAAACAAAATTTTTCATAGATGTTTCTTTCAAAAAACAAATGTTTTTACTTGATTAAAAAATGAAAAACTTTTTTTGCTGATTGAATATCATTCATATCATTTGCATTATTTGATAAACCTTCAAATAAGAAAAAAATTGAAACAACATTATAAACGTCTTTTTTTCTCGTTACTTGAAAAGATTAAATTAATAATATCGAGTAATAATTGTAAATTATTAAGATCATGTAATATAAATGGATGTTTAAAAAAATGTACATTAACGTTTCGAATGTCGATTAACGGATAAATCGATATTTTCTAGAAAGCGAATATTTGTTTGGCCTATTAAATATGAGAAACTTTTCTCAAAAAGATATTTACATTTTACTCTAATCACGCTTTCATTGCTGTGATAAGTTGAAAAATTGATGTTTCGATCAATCAACTGATCGAAGTATGGAACGAATTGAAAAGTACACATGGCAAAATTCATCACTATGAGAATTCTATCAATGCGTATCAACATATGTTTATTAAGAACGCTGTCGATTGATTGTTTTATTATCTATTGGACTCATTATTTATGATCAACTGGTCCTAAAGCTGGAATGGATAAAATCAGATTACCCTATAGTTTAGCAGCTAACTTTTTTATCCTGTATTCATTGTAATTATTTCGAAACTTGATGTTATAGAGTCGGAGAAGTGAAAAATGACTAATATTGGTATATCAACCTGTCAAATCCGACTTGATCCGTTAAGTCGACGCTGGTTCTAACAAGAAATCTTGAGAGTACAGAATCCGCTGATGATTTTTTGAAAATAATTTACAACAAATGACGATTTATATAAATAATAGACCAAATTAGATAAACATGTAGATGTCTCTACAGAGAAATATACATATCAATTCACTTCTATTTCATATCGCTCTGGAAAAATCCTTAAAAATAATTATAGCTTAGCATATGTATGCACAAAAAAATTAATAAACTTTTGAACCGGTTATCTATGATGGCAGATCACTGAGAAATCGATATATTCGAGTTTTGGTTCTTTCATTCACAGAAAAATGTGTATTTAAACATATAATCTTCCCGACATATTTTTTATATGCCGATCAAGTTAGCAGCGGATTCACATCTTTTGGGAACACATTCGCGAACAGACTTGTGTCGGAAAAGTTACTAGTTGTGCTAGATAGTGCTGAGATAATATTGTCTGATGTATAATTTTCAAAAAAATTCTCTTCCGAAAAACACAGTAAAACTTCAAAACATCTTTCTTTAAACTCTATTTTCAATTTAAAGTCAAGAAGTTCCGCACCATACTCGTTCCAAAAATTGCACCAGTTGAGAAGCCATTTGTGCAAGATAAAACTCACTAAGATCTATCGATTGGTTCTAAATTCAATCTTGTTTATCAGTAGTGTAGTAGAGCGTATGTGCATTAAGACTGGCAGAATCTGAGTTTTCAACACATGTCATGATCAAAAATTTGTTTCAACAGTTATAGGAAGGAAGAGATTGTATGTGTCACATAAGTATCGACGAGATCTCTCGATTAGTACCTGATTCAATCTTGTTCATCGGTAGGTTAGATCTCTAAATGACCAAAACTAGTTGGACTGAAAATTTCAACACTTGTCAAAACCAAATATTTTTATCAACAATTGTGTCCGTTGAGAAAGCGTGTCAGTATTCTTTTCATCCTCACACCGACATTTATTGTGACGCCCAAATCCACACCTACGTCTCTTTAATGGAGTGAGGTGAGATTAGATAGGAGTATAGGAGTCTTAGAGGCCTTGTTAGAGTAGGGTGAATGAATTAGGCCCTGTGAAGTACCCGTTGTTATACAAGTGTTCCGCTTAGGCCTTAAAAGCTTAGCCAGGCACAATCTTGGTGTCTATGGCACAGGATATGTGCACATGAGTCTCACCCGTGCATGCATAGCCTTGGTGCGGCCACGGCTCCAACAGGATGGTTTCTGATTATGCGCACACATGCAATTCAATATTCATTACTTTTTCATTTAGAGTGATTTATTTGAGAGAAAGGATAAAAAAAAATTAGCCGTCATAATAAGCCTATTCGATAGAAAACCGTTGAACTCGATCATTCCCATCATCGACAACATAAAGATTGCCATACCTATCAAAGAACAAACCTTTGGGATGGTTCAACTGATTTACTCTTTCTCCTCCGCCATTTTCACCCACAACTACAGTGCCCTGTATCGCTCGTCTAGGCCAACGTATTACTCGATGATTATATGTGTCTGCAACATAGACGGTGTTCAACATATCAACAAACAGTCCATGAGGATGCATCAATTGTGTCCGAAAAGTCCCAAAGCCTTGACCTCCGGCAACGATGATTCCTTCTGTTGCATCTTTATTCCATTTCATCACACGATGATTTCCTGTATCCGACACGTAGGTATTCTGTTGTCGATCGACAAAGATGTAGGTTGGCCAGTTGAGTTGATTGAAACCATCACCTTGTCCTTGGCCACCAGCTACGACAGTTCCACTCTTGTCTCCTATACGGTACCGTCTAACTTCATGTTTGTAGTTGTCAGAAATATAGAGATATCTCTGATCATCCATAGCTAAACCGAAACAACGAATGTTGTCGAAGATAATCTCACCTTGAGTTGTACCACTACGACGAGACCATCGTGCAACTCGTCGATTTTCTCGATCACAGACAATAAGATTATCCGTCTCTTTGTTAATCAAAACATCTGTTGGATAATTCAATTGATCTGATCGATTTCCTTTGCCATGACCACCAGCAATTACTTGTCCATTCGTATCACCGATTTTCCATTGGATGACACGATGATTGGACGTGTCAGCAATGAGGATTGTTTGATCATCATCAACGAAGAGGCCTGAAGGATTGTTAAGTTGATTGGTGGCACTGCCTCGTTCATAACCTCCAGCAACAGTCACTCCATGCTGTATCCAACTGGCATTGACTGGAATATCGATGATCACTATAGTGAAAGAAAAAAATGAGAATACATTGCAATCGATTCGTACGAATTACAGATGAGGTTTCCTTTTTTTTTGAGAAAACTCGCTAGAACTTTCAAAAATGCCGTTTTCTAACATGTTCTAAACAAGAAAAGGTTCTTCATACAAATATTAAGTCAGAAACTTTTTCTAGATTCCTATAGAACAAGAACTTAACGATGATTCTTACACCTATATCATTTCTGGAGTTACAATTCTATTCATTCCTTGAGCCAAGATCCAGTACATGCTAAAAAGTAGAATTTTCAAGTAAAATAAAACCTACATCGGGAGAATCTTATAAAAAGATCTTTCAAAGAATTAGCATTTTTGGAATCCTGAGAAGACCAATACTAATCATATGAGAGTTGTCGATAGGAAAATATAGGGATCAGAAATTTTTACTCGTAATTTCTAATGCAGACTCTTAGCAAAAATATTAGAGAAGGTATCAGTGAGCTTAAATCCTTGCAGAATTTATATGAGCTCTAGACAAGGATTTAAGCAATAAAAGAATGAATTCTGTCAGACTCCTAAACTGAACACAATTCTGAGAATATTTTATTAGGATCGTGTTAGCAATATATCAAAGATCAGAACTTAGTGTTCTTATAAAACAAATGTACATGGTAATCTTCACGTTTGTGAAGAAATTTGAGAGAAATTAATTTTCCGTTACTAAATCGTAACAATTTCACGATGCAGTCAGTTAGACATAATCGCTGAATCTTCACTTCACATGCATCGCGATGTTTTTTTCTATGAATAACATAGAAAAGAACAAGTATTTCACACAGGCCGTGTTTTGTCAGAAAATTTTATATTCCTCGCATTAAGGTGGGACTTTTGCCGTTTTTTACTTGTCATAACACGATAAGAACAGAAACTACTAGCTTTTAACTTATATGCATCTGTTTGAATGCTGTTACAAGGATAAACGAAATAACTCTTTATATTTTATCTTTCAGGAGAAGAAAGATTATTCCAGCCGAATGTCATGTCACCCAGCAATTTGAATCAGTTAGTCAAAGCAAAAGAATAAGATTGAACTTATTATACATCATTCGATCCTTGAAATTTCTTTTCGCTGTCAACTGTTTCAGCTACTATAAAGAATGCATGTTATACAGAAAGAAGATGCTCAAAAATATCTTAGATATTTGATTGTGTAAATTAGCTCGTGATTCCTATGCAATGACTCAAAGTCACGTTATGTTGATCTTACCTTTTTCTCTTCGTATATTTGCCAGCTGGAAAATCATTTCTTGAATCGTTTTATTATACGTTCTTTGTTCATACAAAATCTTGGATTGCGACTGCTCTAGATAAAAATACATAGGGATTTTAGGATTATATTCGTAATTGTAAATGCAGAATCTTAGTAAGATTATCAGAATATGTATTAGTAAGTTTAAAGCTTTTCAGGATTTATGTGAACTACAGACAAAGTTTTAAGCAATAAAATAATAAATTGTGTCAGACTTCTCAACTGAACAAAATTCTGAGAATATTCTATCAGGATCTTGTTAGCAATATGTCAAAGATGAGAACTTAGTGTCCTTGTAAAACAAATGTGCATGGGAATCATGATGTTTGTCAAGAAATCTAAGAATCCAGTATGTATCGTTGAGGATGCTGTTGATGTGGTTCGACAAAATTCCTGTTCACCGAATTTTCATAATTTGAGAAAAGATCTGCTGAAGTGTCTCGAAAACATTTTCGTAGAGGATGCAAGTCTGAACACTACGAATATGATCAAGATATAAAATAGTTTTCAATACTATCATAGCAAGAACTATTTTGTGTTCAGACAGAGAAATGAAATATCATGTAGTATTAAAATCCATGTTGTAGTTCTTGTTCAAGTAATTCCTTTCCTTTCGCAATCGGTTTCGCAGTAGCTATTTCACCGATCTCTCTCATATTATCAAGCAAAATACATTCACATCTAAAAGCATGTGAACCACTCGTCTTTCTTATAATTATATAAGCATCTCGTTCTTAGATGAAGCGTAATGATTCAGAGAATTATCGATCTACAGCAGGATGAAATGTATGACCAAATACATTGATCTCTTTTGAGTCACAAGATACGACAATTCTTCGCGAAGCTTGTCGAGATTAACTATCTTGTCGAAGTGGAAAGCAAAACTATAGGTACATTGTATCACTGTAACTGAATGTATCTCTCTATGAACACACAAGGAAATAAAAACTAGAAGAGAAGAGTCATGTATGGCTTGATGAATGACAATCTGACTAGCCAGCCAAGGTTCATCAAGGAAAAGTCTGATTCTGGATTTTGCGTTCATTGGGACTTATCTCTTTTGGAATTTATGTTTTCAACACTAGAAATACGGTACATGACTTGAATAGCATCGATACTCATCTCTGTTAGTTACAGAGAGTTACCAAAATATGACATTATTTTTTACGTGAGAAATATGTAGTGTAGTATGAGGTTGGCATATTCTCTTTCATGAACAACTATTTTCATTAAGTCGATAGTACTGATGTTTTTAAGTTCTATTGGTGCAGAAATTTACACTTCTTCCTTGAATAAATGAATGTTCATGAAAATAATTCGAAAATAATGATTTGTTTGTAATCTATAAATGATTTCTCATCATAATCACAATTGAAATTTTCCTAAACAACGACAAATCAATTATCAACTTGTTTCATAAAAGTTATACAATCGGAATGCATGAATCTAGAGACTTATCTGAAATAAAATCCATCCTATGCTAGTTACTGTATTGACTAGGTCTTTCTCAAATAGAGTGAAGGATGCCTACAGAAAATATACTGTGTCGATTACTATCTAACACATCATTCGATTAGCTATAAATTTACCTAGATTTTTGACCACGGTACGTTGAACGTATTTTATCGAGAGGTAAATCGCTAACGGAACACTCAGGAGAGTCAAAATACTGCTGATGATTAGAATCCATTCACAAGTGTTCAATGGTTGTTTCAGTATTTCATGAATCCGTCGAGATCTACGAATGTGCTTCTTCGTTTCTTTATGCACAACTGGTGATGAACTCGCTGTTTTGCTTTTGTGGCTTACATTTTTACACGAAGTTGAAAACCGCACAGGCAAATTTGAGTTAGATGTGACAGGTGCGGGTTCTAAAAGAAAATTCCTAAGTGTAGAAAAAGTAAAGCCTCCTGTTGTTACGAACTAGGCGAGCGGATCTTATCCTTTTTGCTGTTGTTGACTAATAGAATATCTTGAAGTGATAAACTTCGTTCATTGCACTTTTGCAGTTCTCGTTGATATTCTGAAAACAAATATGACGCGCTCGTTAAATGTTAATCGTAGTAAAAAAAAAAACAAAAAGAACCAACCTTCAAGCCGTTTGACGGCTGCATTACAATTTATTTTCTTGAGTGCTTCAATGAGGTAATCACAATCTTGATCGTTGATTATCGCCTTTTCAGAAAGAAATTTCAGTACATTACGCGTTCCACTAATTGAAACGTCATCACGAAAATATCTGGGGACGTCTTCGCCAAGAATAAAATGCAAACGATGTCGATCAGTGTCCGAAAGAAGATTCTGTATGTTGAGCAGCAGTGCTTCAAAATCCGATTGTCTACTCATTTGATAAAGACAAATCACTGTCTATAAATTAGTAATATAACATGAATTGATATAGATTTTCACTAACGAGGGAGAATATTTAGGTGCTCAAGAAGTTTAGACCCCATCTTTTGACGATAAATAGATTTCGATGAGGGATGAAAAATCTCAAAAAAATTATCCTCTTGCACCCTTATTTCCGATATATTGAGTCAGTTTTCAAAATATATATAAAAAGAGTGACTGAAATAATATATGGGTGTTTTCTGGAAAACAGTATAGCATTAAAACATGAAACTTTACTGAGTCTGATGTACTAATTGTTCGACCAATTGTGAGTTAAGAGTTAAATCAAATCTTATCAATAACACATCTACTCGTTGTTCATCAGTCCATGGAGCACTCGAAATTCTCCATTTTTTTTGTGATACTATTTTAAACGACAATAATGCTCAATAAATGGATGGAAATGCTATACTATCTACCTTGCTAGTTTCGTTTTTCTTCAATGGCATCATCATGAACAACGTGTAGACATGTTATTGATAAGATTTGACTTAACTCACTATAGGTCGAATACGTAGTATATAAGACTCAGAAATATTTCATGTTTTAATGTTGTACTGTTTTTTTTCAGAAAACATCCGTATATTATTTCAGTCATTCTTTTTACATATATTTTGAAAACTCAATATATCGGGAATAAAGGTGCAAGAGAATAATTTTTTTTAAGATTTGCATCCATCATTCAGATCTACTTATCGTCAAAAGATGAAATCTACTCCTTGGACCCTTATATATGTTCGCTCGTGAGATCGATTAGTCAATCATGTCTACAATGCGTACAACTTGCAACAGACCATATCACGTAATACAGACGAAGAAAATAGTGGGAGAGTGAATGATGTGATTTTTTTCTTGTCTCGTGAAAGAAGCAATACACGAGATATCTAATGTTATCCCAGGGAAAGAAAAAAAACAGCCAAATGATGATATCACAATTATCAATATCGATTAAACTTCACACTAGTTATATACTAGTTGTCTTAACTTCGTCGTTTCTTTATATTCATGGTTCTTCAATTGGACAAACTTTGCATTATTTACATCTGTTCACAGGTACTTCATCTTGTTTTTTCGACCAAATAGTTGGCTTTGAGTTGTTCAGTATGCTGAGAAGTTCACTACTATGCTCGCCTCTTCTCGTGTTGTATTCTGAATCTCCATCTAGTTGTGGATATCAAAGAAAAAAAATCTATCGAGACAGAACCGACAAATGTTACGTAAATGGAAGAAAAAAAACGTCGCAGAGCGAATGAATAATACGAGACTTCTCTGATTTTCTAACATTCCCTTGTCTATGGCAAATGAATGGCACATCTTCTTATCAAGTAGAACACAACAAAAACAAATTCCACAGAGGAGAGAAACAAGAGTTATGGGGAAAATCCCTTATTGACTGGCAATCATAGATTAGTAAAACGCCCAGTGAGATGAGTCAAGACGAATGTCATTACTTGAGATATCAAAACAGCTGGATCAATTCTATTCTAATAAAAATCATCGGACAATCAAGTAACGAGTTTTTAATGGCGAGTAAAATATAAGAAGCTGATATGTGAAACGGTGTCAGAAATACCACACGATTTACAATGTAAATATATGAAAAAGAGAAAATTTCGATAAAAATCTTTCCCAACATCACATGAGCTGTCTCGTACCGATTAAAAATCTGATGCCTTGATGTTATTTAGCACTGTTCATCTACATATCACACTGTAACAACAATCAAATATCACTAGGTAATAAATAGATTTCGATTATTATTAACTATTATCGATATCCTTCTGTTCTTTTTCTGTATACATCTAGATAAATTTTTATGCGCATGTTGTATAGCACACGAACTTTATTTCACAAAAAAAAACAAATAAAATGAGCTAAACTTTTACATACAGAGTGATTAAGTGATTTTTGATAGCTTTGTTCAATTTGTTCTATTTATAGAAAGCTATGAATGTTTTTTTTTTTATTTTGATATATAGTTGGATTGAGCATGAAATACTCGATCGACCAATATAGTTTACATTTTATTTAACTTGCACATTGTCCAAAAATATGACATATTTCAACAAGCATCTAGTACAATGTTCTTTATGTAATAAATTTCAGACCATTTGTCAGATTCATCAGAAACTCTCTTCAACTTTTCTCTTCATTTCTCTCCTTTTAGAGTCAAATCTAAACGACAGTTATGATGAAAACATAGAAGTGACAATCGAAATAACTTTCGATTAGATCCGACAGTTTTGTACATTATTGTCCTTATATTTATCGATCTAATGTATGACAATGATGTTGTATGCATAAGGATGACAAGATGAAAAGTTTGTTTGTTATCGAATCAATTGTATGCAAGATATCGATAGCAAACAAGAAAAAAAAAGACGAACAAATGTAAAGAAAAGACAATGACACATGAGTAAATTGAAAATAAACACAAACAATAGATAGTAGAAGAAGCTGCAGTACTCGAAATCTAAAATATGTTAAAAGAATTTGAACGTTCTCTCGTCAATAAATACGATTCAGTTTTAAGATAAAAAAAAAATTATTAAAGTATTATTTCATCACTAAAGTTAATGCTTTGAGCTAGATCCAAGCTTCATATATTTCACAGAGAAGAAACTGATTATATTCATGATCAGAATTGAAACTCGTGATTGACGATGTGAATCATGTTTTTAGAATGTACAAAGCGTCGAAGCCAACATTCAAGCTATATCACGAGGCATTGGAATTGAAAAATGAATAAAATCCTCTATCTTATCCTTTTAAATAGTTAAACCAATCAGGTTGACAGAACTTATATTAGTTCGAACAGACAAGAGTCTATTGCGATCAGACATTATCAGTCTCATCCTAGTTCAAAAAACTGAATCTAGAACCACAAGAAATATATAAGCGATCATTAAGTTTAGTTTTTAGATGCATATCTTTATACAATGTCAATTAAATTAATCCACATTTTCAATTCAACTGTTTTTTGTTGATACTGCACTATCTATATAGAATTTTTCGGCAAATCATGAAATGTTTAAGTAAATTTGTATCTTCTATAAATAATGAAGCATAATCATTTGTTGATTTTCTACTTCTTGAAAGGTACTTGTTAGTCTGCCATGACTAATCTTCTTCTGGTTTACCATCTATTCTGTTCTTCTCTAAAATAAACAACAACGTAGATATATAGAATCATACATAACACGAGAGATATAGAAGAAATCGAATAGCCAATATAAAGAGAAAGCAAACAGAAGATAGGTAGTCTATCAAAGATAGTGTTACTACTTAACATCTTCACCTTTTCCTCATGATCAGCTTTACCTATTCGCCAAGATACAACAAGAAACAAATAACAACACAAAATAAGAACAGAAACTCAAAAAGTTTTGAAAACCAAAGTAGAAAGAAAAAGTATAATGCAGGAGGATCACTAGGGGACAAGATGATAGAATCGGTGTTAGTTTTTTTTCTTTTTTTACGCATACATATATATCACTAATTAAGAAGATAATCGATTTCTAACTCATTGACGGTGATATGAAAACGTTGACCAGTGGAATATGGCAACTGTGCATATAGATACAGTCGTTAAAGAAACCAATACTTACAGGATTTTATCGATTTAATTTCTTCCTAATATCATTGGACAAATATGACTACGAGTAACATATGCATTAACACATTGATGGATAGAATTAATTTGAATATTAGATGTCATCTATTCTATAAGAGAGTTAAATACACTATTAGTAGTATGAACTTTAGTT